TGATTGCAGTCCCCACATGTAGCAGCACTCTTTTCATGTTCTCCCTGTGTTTCCTGTTTTCCTTCACCCTTCTTACCTATCCCTTCCTGACTTCAGCTTTCTCCTTGGGCAAATAAATGGTGCCCTTTTGATCTTGTGCAGTAGATTGTTCTAAGGCGTGTGTACCTCCTTGTGTCATTAACGCTATAGGACTGTCTGTTGTTTGGTTGAAAATAGAGTCATGGGCCTGGAACTGCTTTTTTTTAAATAAAACCTTTTTATTGTGAATTGAATGAAGAGTTACAAAGCATATCATCACTTTTACAATTAACAAATCATATACTTTGATTCATTACAATAATTGCAATAACCTCCATGTATCATCAGTTAACAGTATTCGCCTCTATTCTTTTTTTTTTTTTAGTGTTTTATTATGAATTATATGATAGTTTACTTGGGAGAATATTAGTTTTACATTCATTCTATCGTAAATCGTTTCATTTCGCCTCTATTCGTTTTAACTTCTGTGTTCCTCCCCATGTTTTCTGCTACCTTTATCTTTCCTATGCTAACCTCCCTCTTGTTGTAAATTGCCTGCCCCCTCTCCTAAGCTAATGTGTCTATCCTCAACCCAGTGAATAATCTTCCCTTACCTACCACCCTTGGTAACCATAGTAGAATGTTTCTTTTAGCAAGAAAACCTTTTCCTAACTTTTTTTTTTTTTTTAAGATTTTTATTGTGGATTGAGTTAAAGTTTACAGGGCAGATTATCAGTTTTACATTCAACAAATCATACACCTTGTTTTATTACAATGATTATAATCCCCTCCATGTGCCATCAGTTAACAGTATTTCTCTCTATCCACTTTAGATTCCAAACAAAACAAAACAAAAACCACTCAGGCATATATAATAATTTACATCTCCAAAGGGCACATTCTACAAGTCTGCCTCCTGGCCACCAGCTCTTAGTCCCTCTCGTTCCATGAATCTAGAGTCATCAGCCACTCCCTTTCTCCATGCCCCCATCTCTGCCGTTGATGCTTCTCTGGATAAGGTCCTGCATTCTGCTTGTGCGCTTCTCCCTTGATGGCCCTAGGTTCCTCTGTTTCTGAGCTGTAAGATTAACCACTCCCCTGTTTTTGTTACAAAACTTCTACCTTTACAATCATGATAGTTGCAATTAGTCATGATAACAATTACTTACTATTGAATCATACGAACCTTATCCCCATCCCTTTTCACCAGACCCATCTAGACAAGATGAAATCTATTCAGTGGAGACTTTTTCTTTCCCACCATACTCTTAAACTAAACTCCCCCTTGAAACCTTGTAAGCCAGTCACTTCATGCCTTTATTGCCCCTCATTTTAGGTAGCCAGTGTCTAAGTTGCCCGTCCCTGTCTACCCTGTGTACAGAGGGGATAGCATTGATACTTGATGTGAAGACTCCTTCCCTCTCTGTTGATATTTAGAGTAACTACCTCTCTGAGCATAGGTCAGGTTCATCAAATTGTAGCAATTTACCCTTGTTTCCTTTATCAAAAAAAAAAAAAAAATTTATTTTTTTTTTGGGTAGTCTTCCTCTAGTCAAGTTCTGATTATCGAGCCATCAGGGCTAGGTCAAAAGGATACTGTCTGCAAGTTTGAGTGTTCTTCTGATTCTCCCCTCACTTTATATCAGCTGGATGCTTCACTCTCAGCTCTAGCCCTCTGTGGCTATGTCCTTGTCCTTGTCAAGTGTCCTTCGGTCTCACACACTTTGGACCAACCAGCACTTCCTGTTCTCTCTTTCATTTCCAAGTCAACGGGAGTCAATGGACTGTGGTTGAACTCAGCCCACTTCTTCATTGCTGCCTTTCTGCCTCTTTCACTTACCAGTAGACCAATGTGGTCAACAGCAAGCTTACATGCTTGTTTGTGTATTCCCTTTGAGTTTCTGTCTTAGAGAGGAGTTTGTCCTGAAGGAACTTGATTGCTAGCCTTGATGTCTTCCTGGTGAACAGCTTGCTTATTCTTGTAGTAGCCAGTCATGCTGACATTTTGTTTTGGGTTTCTCCTGAAGATGTATCTTCTGTCACTGTAGCTGTTCCAGGCTGGTCTGCTTGTCCTTTCTAGTGGGAATGTCCCACCTTATAAGGTTCTGGATGGGACTCAGAATTTCACCTAAGGTCCTATACTGTGTAAAGGCTTTGCAAGAGGCCTAATTCACCTGGGCAAGTTTCAGAAACCCTGTTAGGTATTCTAATCAGTTATAGGCTAAAGGCGGGATTACAAATTTTCTCTAATCACGTTTCCCAACATTCCTTTCTATCCCACTCAAGTGTCTATTTTACAGTAGTAGGCAAGGGAAACTAATATTCATAAGACAGTCAAGCATTTTAGTATTATTTCTCCTCTTCAGGTTTTACCTAGATCCCTGTATCCCAGAGTCCTGTTGTTCCCAGGTTGTGCATACATCACTATTTACCTCTGTCCCACTTAGGACATGCAAATCTGTCTCAGTGTTCCCCTACCTATCTTGTTCTTTCACCTCCTCCCCTTTCTTGTATTGCCCTCCCCAACACCAGAACTAAACCCTCCACCTAATCCCATTGTTGTAGTTACCTTATATTCCATTAATTCTTCCCTCCATTTAAGACGGTGTATTTTATCCTGTAATCTACCTGACCTTCCCGCCACCTGGATCTCTGTTCCTCTGTGTTTACCTTCTTTCACATTGTAATTGTTTTGATGATAGACTGATCTCCCAGGTCCTCTGTTCTTGACTCTTTCATTTGTCGATTGAGTTCAGGGTGATGCTGCCATGTTCATCATTCTCTAGTTCTTGTCAGTTCTTGTTGGTTCTCAGTCTATAGAACTTCCTTTAGGATTATTTTCATAGCAGGGTTGGCTTTGGCAAAATCCCTTAGCTTCTGTTTATCTGGAATGTTTTGATTATATCATTGTATTTGATTGACAGCTTTGCTGGGTAGAGGATTCTTGGGTGGCAGTTTTTTTTCTTTCAGGGTGTTAATATATGTCTCCCCATTGCCTTCTTGTCTGCATGATTTCTGTTGAGAGATCTGAGTTTAATCTGATTTACTTGCCTTTGTATGTTACACTTCTCTTTTCTCTAGCTGCTTTCAGGATTCTGTCCTTATCTTTGATTTTGGAGAGCTTGATTATTATATGTCTTGGTGATTGTCTTTTAGGGTCTGTCCATCCTGGGGTTTGTTGAGCTTCTTGAATGCTTATCTTTTTGCTTTCCAGGACGTTAGGAAAATTTTCTTCCAGAAACTCTTCAACTATCTCCTCTGTGGACTTGTCTGATTCTTCCTGCTCAGGAATGCCGATAATTCTTAAGTTATTCCTCTTCATGTTATCCAACATGAATCTTAGGCATTCTTCTGATTTTTTTAAATCCATTTTTGTGTTTGCTCTTTTATCTTAGTAGTGTTGAGATTTATGTTCCAGTTCACTAGTTCTGGCTTCTGTGTCTTCAGTTCTATTCCTTTGCCCTTTCAGTGTATTGTCCATTTCTGAAATTCTGTTATTAGTCAATCGTTTGGTCCTCTTTCTGTAGGTTTTGAATTGTTTCCAATGCTGTATCTATCTTATTTGATTGCTCCTGTAGCACTGTCCTGACTTCTTCCTGATTTTTCTCAACTCCATTGTATAGTGTTTTGATACATTTTGTAATCATTTTTCTAAATTCCTTCTCAGGCATTTCCAAATCTTGTCCTTTTTCCAGTATGGAGTATAGGTCTACTTCGAGCTCATTTGCCTCAGTCACTTTATCTCGTTTCTGGACATGTGCTGATATGATCATCTGCTTCTATTTTTTGGGCATTTTCAGGAGTTATCTGTGGCCTTAATACTTAGATGGGTGTGTATTTATGCTTTCTGATTGCCTCCAGGTAGGTGTGATCAGGAGATGGGTTTCTATTTTCACTCTTCTTCTTGAGAAATTTCAAGATGCCACTATTGGTCATTGTGATGTAACTCAGGATTTAATTTTCGGCCTCTTTTCTTTTTAGTCTGCCTGTCCCACTCCACATTCCCCATTCAGGCATTTTTTTCTAGTTATAAACAGTTCAGGGCTGGCTGTGGTTGTTTGGTTTTAAGTGGAAACTGTCTCTTTAAATTTTGAGGAGACCTGTGTGCATGCATAGTAGAATCCTCTGGGGATGGGGGTGGGGTGTTCACTTGCTCAGGCACCTCTATAGTCACCAGAATGGAGGTGCACAGACAGTGAGAGACCAATGAACAGATACTAAAAAAAAAAAAAAAAAAAAGAATGTCCACACCTTTATCTCTGTGCTTCTGTTAGGTGTCCGTGGATGCTCTGATCCTTCCACTGCTTGGTCTCACCCAAGATGGCAGCTCAGCTGCTCGGCTCCAGGAGCAGTTGAGCGTTTTGAATTAGAAAGCAATGGATTTCTTTCTTCTGCTAAAAATTTCCCTGGCTGTAAGCCTTCCAACCTTCTAAATATTCCTTTATATGTGGTTCAGATTTCTGGCACCATCCCCTCAGCCTGCTTGGTCCGGTATTCATGTGTTGTTGCTGATGGAGCTCTTCACTGCACTTCTACCCTGTCCACCATTTTGTTTGTTCTCCTCCTGGAACTGCTTTTTGATTGTAGTTTTGTGGCTGGGATAAGTGATATGGGCTTTGGCGGTGGAGCTCACAAGACTGTTGTGGTTTTGGCCCAGGAAGAGCCTGGCTGAGACCACTGGACTCTTGGCTTTGAAGCCTGAATTGCCTCCCGTCCTTCCATTTTATAATTACATTGGGTGCTCTAGTGACACTTACTGGATGAGTAAAGTTGGCCAAGGATTCTGGGAACTCTCTGGGCCGTTCGGGTGGGTAAGTCTCCTTACAGGGTTGGTTGGAGTCCTTTGGCAGTGTGAGCTCTCATAGACAGAACACAGGACCAAGGACCACCCAAAAGACAGGCAAGGCTGTCTTTCAGGTGGTGTAACTCCTGAGAATGGGTGGCCATGCTTTTTATCATCCTATCTTTCCACTCTCCCACAGGAGAGGCAGGAGAGGAGGAGGAGAAGGAGCCTCTGCCTAGTCTGGATGTCTTCCTGAGTCGGTACACGAGTGAGGACAATGCCTCATTCCAGGAGATCATGGAGGTCGCCAAGGAGAAGAGCCGAGCCCGTCACGCCTGGCTTTACCAGGCTGAAGAGGAGTTTGAGAAGGTGTCCCTGGGGTTCAGTGGCCTCGAGCACTCTGGTGGAGGGTAGGGGTCATCTCTGGGCCAGGGACAGAGTGCCTCGGAGCCTTGCTGACCTCCACTTTGCACCATGTGATTGCAGAGGCAGGAAGAGAATCTTGCCCTTCCATCAGCTGAGCACCAAGCCATCGAGAGCAACAAGGCTGGAGTGGAGACTTGGAAGTACAAGGCTAAAAACTCCCTTATGTACTACCCAGAGGGTGAGCAGGTGGGGCCAGGTAGTCAGAGCAGGGGGAGTGAGGGCCCCTGTGCGAGAATCTGACTGGAGGGACTGGGTAAATGCTCAATTGGAACCCTAGACATCGGACAGCCTTATTCTTGGTCTGTCTTAAAGGGGATGGTGTGTCTTTCTGTGTGCAAGGCCAACAGGAGAGTGAGGTCCTCCCCCCCCTTGGTTCAGGTTTGGCAGATGTGAGCCTGAACAAGCCCAATGCTCTTGTGCAGTTGAGAGAGAGTATGCTCTTCTGGGGGTAGGCACTGAATGGCAAGGCCAAAGAGGCAGGGCCAAGCAAGGGTCTCCCTCCTCACTGACAGTTACTTCCCTCCCTGCTTGAACTGGCAGGTGTCCCCGATGATGAAGAGCAGATGTTCAAGAAGCCTCGGCAAGTGATGCATAAGAACACACGCTTTCTCAGAGACCCATTCAGCCAAGCTCTGAGCAGGTCCCAGCTCCAGCAAGCAGCTGCCCTCAATGCCCAGGTGCGTAGGCTGGGACCATCAGGTTTAGGTGCGAGCTGATGACCAGGGCACCACACCACAACCTGCTCTCTGCATTTCCACTGCCGCTGATAAATGAGGACTATTCCTGGGATTGGTGGAGCTCGGTAGTGCTAACCTTCATGGGGTCTCTGAGTCTTTCTTTTGGCCTGGGGCAGATCCCTTGAGTGCCCACAAGAGAAAAGGCTACTGGGAAGCTGCACAGTCGTGCCAAACCTACACCCTTGTGCCAGGCAGGGTTGTGGGGTGGATGGTGGGATTGGCAGCAGGTGGGGAGAGGGTTGAGAGTCTCTTATGTGGGAAAGAGGCCAGAGCACAGTCTTGCCTCTGAAAATAGCCCATGTGGGTCGGGTAGTGGGCCCTGTCATTGCTCCAGCTGTGAGGAAGGGCATCTCCCATGCTGGGAATGCCTGCTTGAACAGGTCCACATGGGCTCTGGTGGAAGTCTCCTGCCTTCCTGTCTCTCCCTATCTTTCTTCAAGGGGACTGGCAGTCCTGAGGAAGGAAGTATGCTGGTTAGTGTGTGCTCGTCCAGCTGGGGAGAGTGGTTCCAGCCGACCAGTGCCCAAGTCTCCCTGACTCGGCCTTGTTCTTCTCATTTCAGCACAAACAGGGCAAAGTGGGCCCTGACGGCAAGGAGCTGATCCCCCAGGAGTCCCCCAGAGTGGGTGGATTTGGATTTGTTGCCACTCCTTCTCCTGCCCCTGGTGAGACATGCACCTACTGGATACCTGGCCTTTCCAAGGACTTCATTCAGGGAGGAGGGATTCTCAGTGGGCACTGGTGCTCGATTGGGCCTACCCCACACTTTTGGGACTTAGGAAGCTGGGCTCTGGGACCACCAAGTCTACCAGGCATACCATCCACCAGCTGGGCTGGCTGACCTGCAGGGTAGAATCTGGCTGGTGGTGAGCTGAGGTATCACAGCTATAGTCCTGAGGTAGTCTGCAATAAGGGCAAGCTATCCTGTTGGTGGACTTTGTGGGTGCACTGCTTTTTGTGAAGGGTGTGTAGATGTCAGGTCTGAGTGTGCTATGTCTAGCTGAGTGCAGGGCTGGGGACGAGGTACACCTGGAGAAGGGGCTTCACAGTTTTGGGGTCAGGGTGATGCCAGGTAGCCTGGGTGTGTGAAGCACATTCTTGCCCCTACATCCCTTCTGCAAGCCCCATCTCTGCTGCCTGACAGCTCCAGTTTCCCCACCTCTTCTGCACAGACCCTTCTAGCCTGTGTCATCATCCCAAATCCACTGCCTTCTAGTTGTTTCTGACTCATAGCGACTCTATAGGACAGAATAGAACTGCCCCATAGGACTTCTGAAGGAGCTCTGGTACTGTTGTGGTTACGAATTGGGCTGCTAACCTCAGTCAGCAGTTCGAAACTACCACCTGTTCCATGGGAGAAAGGAGAGGCTTTCTGCTCCCATAAAGATTTACAGCTTTGGAAACCCTGTACAGGGTGTCTATGAGTTGGAACCGACTCCATGGCACATAACAACAACAAATAGGGCTTCTGAGGCTGTAAATCTTTAGGGACACAGACTTCCATTATCTTTATCCTGTGGAGCAGCGGGTGGGTTTGAACTACCAACCTGTTTGTTAGCAGCTAAGCACTTAGCCACTGTGTCACTAGGGCTTCTTGTGTAGCCACCAGTCCTGGGATAATGTTTTCTGGTTTTGGTTCTCAGTCATGTCAGCAGGTGGGGCACTTAGCCAGTGGTGTTTACAAACAACTACCACTAGCCCTGTGGTCTGGGGACACTTGGGTCTTCTCTGATGCCTGCCTTAAATGAGGAGACTCCTAATACTTGAGTTACCTGGTTGCCTGCCCTGACACTGGCATTGGCCTCTGCTTGTGGTGCTGGCTGCTATGGGACTCCAGGAGGTCATGGAGTCCAGAAAGTACCACGTATCTCCTCCAACTTTGGGGTGGGGTGTCATCACTGACTGCCAGGAAGCTCCACAGAGACCTCCAGCTCCCCGGATCAGTACTAGGGTTGGAGCCTAGCTGGCCCAGCCTGGCTTCTCTGGGGAGCTGTTTGTCTCCAGGCTGAACCCCATGGCTGCCAGGGCCTCCATGGCTGCACCATATGCTACTCAGACAGCAGAGGTCCCAGGTTTTGATGATCCAGGGAAGTGAGAGCGGGCACAGCTGCTGGACCTGGGGTTAGCTGGGAACTGCATGAGGTGAACTTGTGGCAGCAGAAGAGAGTGTCAGGAGCCCTCTGGCCTGAGGGGGTTGTGGTGGGCTCTACCTTTGCAGGTGTGAACGAGTCCCCTTTGATGACTTGGGGTGAAGTCGAGAACACACCCTTGAGAGTAGAAGGACCGGAAACATCTTACGTGGACAGGACTCCAGGGCCAGCCTTTAAGGTGGGTTGTCGTGAAAGGGGTCTGTGGTGGGACTCAGTGTGGGCACCTGATGGGTCAGGGCAGAGGCTCAGGCTCTAGCTGGCACTTGTCAGAGCTACTGGAGGGGCTAGAAGTCCATTCAGAGATAAGGCAGATGGGCTAATAGGATGTTCCGAATGCTCTGAAGGACTGAGTGCCAGGAAGGGGTCCAGGGCTACTGTGTCCTCTGAGGCTGGGTGTCTATTCTCAGAAGGCTGTGTGCTGGCAGAGAAAGGACTCTGATTGTGGGAAACATGAGACAGACTGATTGTGAGTGTGAGGCTAGGCTAGATGTGGGCACGGTACAGGAGTGAGCAGGTGGGTGTCAGAGGACCTGGAGACAGTAGGGTGGCCCAGGTTGTTGTAGGTGCATGTTTAGTCTTGGGATCTGTAGTGTTTTCAAAAGGGAAGGAAGAGAGGTGCGTAAAAGTTGGCAGCTGCTGTGGAGATGGCAAAGGTGTGACTTTTGGGTCCTGGGTCCTGGCTGACCAACCCTGGAGTGCTGAGAGAGCATAGGAAGCAGAGACAGAGGGGGCCAATTTTCAGATTGTAAACCCACAAGTGTTCAGTGTAAATAGCTGGCGTGAATAAAGAAAAGGAGCCCTGATGGTGCAGTGGCCACATGCTAGCCCACCAGCTGGTCCTCGCGAGTAAAGACCTGGCAATCTGCTCTTGTAAAGATCAGACTGTGGCACAGTGTGACTTGAAATTCACTTCACACATAAGCTAGTAGATGAAGAAGAGCGAATCTTCTTCTTCTTGTCATACTTCCCAAATACCTTTCTAGTTTAGCTGTGTAAATAAGTCATTTGAGCAAATGTGGTCTTAACAAGTAGAATTTCTAGGTTCATTCAGTCAAAAAATCTTATTTTTCTGGGTCTGCTCATTTGCAGATGGGAGGAGAAGCAGGAACCAGGTGATAAGAGGTAATCTTGAACAACAGCAACAAAAAAAAACCCAACCAAATCCATAGCTAAGGAATGGATTCCGACTCATGGTGTCCCATGTGTTACAGAGAACTCCGTAGGGTTTTCTTCACTATAATCTTTATGGAAGTAGATTGCCAGACCTTTCTTCTGTGATATAGCTGGGTGGTAGAAACTGCCAGCCTTTAGGTTACTAGCCAAGTACAAACCACTGTGCCATCCAAAGACTTGACCTTGAACTCATTCCTATGCAGCCCAGTAATCAACTGGAAATGCAGTGGTACTACAGATACCTGTCACTGGAGCACCAGAAAATCTGTAACACCTAAGAATAAAACCTTTGTAAAGAAACCATAAAAAGATCCATCCAGGTGACACCATCCCAGGGTGTTTGGCCCTGTCTGTCCTCCGAGTTTTCTCTAGGCCGGCTCCTCGTGTGGAAGGGGAGGTACCCACCATAACTTTCCTGATTCTGTGTCAGAGTCACTCAGAAAGGCAATGCATATCCATACTTAACCCAGGCAGGTTTTCTCACCCTGGTTCTAGAATGTGGGACACAACCCAGAAAAACGTGAGCTGTTAAAGCATAGCATAGGGTGATGTAGATGTTTTAATGTGTGCCAGTGGCCTTAGACTCTGCAGGTTCAATAGGAAATGAACACTTCTGAAACAAACTGTAATCTGAGCCAGAAGGCAAGGTATGATGAAGGCAGTAATTACGCTGGGAAGTGGTGTGTGTATTTGAAAGTCAAGTAAACTACATCCTTAATATGGGTAGCAGAATACACTTGAGAAAAGTGGAAAGGTTAAATATATAAACCGTAGAAAAAAATATGGCTGAACAGTTCATTGATCTTAAGCCAGGAAGGACTTTCATAAATAAAAAGAATAAAGTGGAAGTGATGGCTAGATTGCATGATATGAAAATTGCAAACATAACATTTTAGAAATACAGTGTGGTTAACTGAGAAAACAGCGTGCACGGGTTAAGCATTCAGCTGCTCGCTGAAAGGTCAGCGAGTTCAAACTTGCCAGCCCCTCAGTAGGAGGAATGAGTCAGTCTACCTTTGTGAAGATTGTTGTTGTTGTTGTTGTCAAGTGCCGTCGAGTCGATTCTGACCCATAGTGACCCTGTATAGGGTTTCCAAGGAGCAGCTGGTGACTGTGAAGATTACGGCCTTGAAAACCTGTTGGGGCAATTCTATTCTGTCCTACAGGGTCCTTAAGAGTTTGAATTAACAGGTATGCATGTGACAGCTTAATATAATTCATCTAGATACAGCTTTTTGATAGTGGAAGAATAAAACACGAGTACCCTACTAGAAAAATAGGTCAAGGACGTACGTAGGACATTCTCACAGGAAAACACACGTGGCCAGGAACCAGAAAGATAGTCGCTTAGTAACCAGAGGGAAGTATGTTAAAACCAGCTACTCTCTTCCTTCAGAGACTGATGGAGGTTGGTACCTTGGTAGTGCTCACTGAGAGGAAGATGTGAACAGTCCAAGGATGCTAGGCTTGAGGCAACTGGGGGCTCCTTAGGGGTAGCACTGGTGGGTTATGGAGTCTTAGAAACATCTAAAACCCAAACCAAACCCTTTGCCATCCAGTTGATTCTGACTCATAGTGACCTAATGTAAGTCTTTTTATTTTTAAGGTTTTTATTGTGGCTTGAGTGAAAGTTTACAGGGCAGATCATCAGTTTTACATCAACAAATTATGTACCTTGTTTTATTACAATGAGTATAATCATTGTACCATCAGTTAACAATTTTTCATTCTACTCACTCTAACTCTTTTTAAACAAACAAACAAAAAACACCCAGGCATATATAATAATTTACACCTCAAATGGGCACATTCTTCAAGTCTGCCTCCTGGCCACCAGCTCTTAGTCCCTCTCTTCCCAAGAATCTAGAATCCTCAGCTGCTCCCCCCTCCACATGTCCCCATCTCTCCCTCCATCTCTGACATTGCTGCTTCTCTGGATAAGGTCACGCATTCTGCTTGTTTTCTTTTTCTTTAATGGTCCTAGGGTCCTCTGTTCCTGGACTGTAAGATTAACCATTCCCCTGTTTTTGTTACAAAACTTTTACCTTTACAATTGTGACAGTTGCAATTAGTCGTGATAACAATGACTCACTATTGAATCAAAGTCTTTTATCCCCATCTTTTTACCAGACTCATTTAGACAAGATGAAAAATATTCAGTGGGAACTCTGTTCCCCACACACACTTAAAACTAAACTCCTCTTGAAACCTTGTAAGCCAGTCACTTCGTGCCTTTGTTGCCCCCTCATTTTAGGTATCCAATGTCTTAAGTTGCCCTTCCCTATCTACCCTGTGTACAGAGAGGATAGCATTGATACTTGATATGAAAACTCCTTACTCCTTCCTTCTCTGTTGGTGTTTAGAGTTACTACCTCCATGAATATAGGTCCGTTTCATCAAATTGTAGCACTTTACCCATGTTTCCTTTATCAAAAAAAAAAAAAAATTTTTTTTTTGTAATCTTCCTCTACTGGAGTTCTGATTATCAAGCCATCAAACTGGGTCAAATGGGTACTGTCTGCAAGTTTAGGTGTTCTTGTGCATCTCCCCTCACTTCATATCAGCTGGATGCTTCACTCTCAGCTCTAGCCCACTGTGGCTATGTCCTTGTCCATGGGCTCAGGTGTCCCCAGATCTCACCACACTTTGGAGCAACCAGGGCTTCTTCCTCTTTTCTCACTCATCTCCAGGTCAGTGGGAGTTAATGGACCATGGTTGAACTCAACCAATTTCTTCATTACTGCCTTTCCCCCTCTTCCACTCACCAGTAGACCAGTGTGGTTGCCAGCAAGCTTACTTGCCTGCTCATGTGTTTCCTTTGAGTTTCAGTCTCAGAGGGGAGTTTGTCCTGAAGGAACTTGATTGCTTGTCCTGATGTCTTCCTGGAGAACAGCTTGCTTATTTTTGTAGTAGCCAGTCATGCTGACATTTTTGTTTTGGGTTTTTCCTGATGATATCTTTTTGAAGATGTATCTTCTGTCACTGTAGCTGTTCCAGGCTGGTCTGCTTGTCCTTCTAGTGGGAATGTCCTACCCTATAAGGTTCTGGATGGGACTCAGGATTCCACCTAAGGTCCTATACTCTGAAAAGGCTCTGCAAGAGGGCTATTTCACTGGGCAAGTTCTAGAACCCCTTTTAGGTATTCCAGTCAGTTAAAGGCTGACAACGGGCTTACAAGTTTTCTGTAATCATGTTTCTCAACATTCCTTTCTATCCCACTCAAGTGTCTATTTTATAATGGTAGGCAAGGGAAACCAATATTCACAAGACAAACATCTTAGTAATATTTTCCCTCTTCAAACTATACCTAGATCCCTGTATCACAGAGCCCTGTTGTTCCAAGGTTGCACATGCATCAGTATTTACTTTTGTCCCACTTAGGACATGCAAACCTGTCTCAGTGTTCCCCTATCTAACTTGTTTTTCCATCTCCTCCCTCTTCTTGTTATGCCTTCCCCAACGCCTGAACTAAACCTTCCACCCCAACCTCATCATTGTGATTACCTTATATTCCATTAACTCTTCCCTCCATTTAAGACAGTCTATTTTATCCTGTAATCTACCTGACCTTCTCACCACTTGGTTCTCTGTTCTTCTCTGTTGATCTTTATAAACATTATAATTGTTTTGATCATAGTCTGACTTCCCAAATTCTCTGTTCCTATAATTTTATTCTGTTCTTGACTCTTCCATTTGTCGACTGAGTTCAGAGTGATGCTGCCACATATGTCAGTCTTTGGTTGTTGTCTGTTCTTGTTGGTTCTCAGTCCACAGAACTTCCTTTAGAATGTTTTTCATAGCAGGGTTGGCTTTGGCAAAATCCCTTAGCTTCTGTTT